CCCCAGCGTTATTTTTGTGTCTCTGCGAGAGCTAGCAAAATGTGTAGCAATGTCTCATTACCAACTCAGGCAGCCGCAGGATGGGCTCTTCTCTAGGGCAAGCGCTACATGCCTCAGGGTGTGAAGGATTCAAAGTACCCACAGTGATCCATCCTTTAACCTTTCTAACTCAGACCCTTCCTAGGCCCCACTGCCTGGTGCAAAACCAAAGTTCCATGGCTATCTGTAAGTGAGGAGGCATTAAACTGGCAGAGATGGTCAGATTGAAACATTCTCTTCCAGTTCCTTTGTTACATAAGATTTTGGCTGGTTTTATTCTGCTTAGTTACAACTAAACATTGGGAGGCTGAAGTGACACAGTGAAGAACTTTGCAATCTGGCAAAGGCAGGTCAGAAATCGGTGTCCACTGACCAGGTACAATGTAAATAAAGCCATTTCTAAAGCTAGTGCCAGGAGCATGTTTTCCTATGTGGAAGGGAATGAATTGCCCTGTACCAGCCATACTTAACTGACAAATGCGATCTTTTAATGGTTGCCACTTTGTTTTGGGGGCTTCTGGATCTTAAAGGAGGAATAGAGATCAACTTGCACAATTTGATTGCCACCTAAATACATATAATTTGATACACACAGTAACTGATGTAGATAGCAATAATTTTCTGTGAAGGATGGAATCTGATTTGATCATGATGAGAACACCGATCTGGCAATAAAGGGTATTTTACTGTTTGCAAGCATTGAAAAATAAACCTCTGTTCAGAAACCTACCCAGGTGTGTTGTGGGGTATGTGTGTGTGTTTGTGTTACAGTGGGGATTAATTTAAAATGCAAACAGTCATTGCTAGTGGTCTTGCTAGAAGAAGTACTTCTACTCTTGTTGAGTGTTGTTAACTAAAGTTAGCCTGTCACCTGTCAGCAGCCTTCTCTTTTGGTGTGAGCTGTAGCAAACTAGAAAGCCTCCACAAACAGCAAGGCAACATTATGCTTTAGTAAGGTCTTAGAGCCCCAAACCCCTCCTTCTCAAAGCCCTAGGAACCACTCTCTCTTTCTAACTTCTCCACTATTATCACAGACTTCCTACATTTTAAAAAAGCTCCAAGGATTGCTTTCATGGACTATGTACATAAGTGCAAAAAAGGTGTGTCTCACACATTCGCACCCTAACTGAGACAATCAGGTAACTGCAGCATACATCTCTTAAACACTGTTGAAGGGAAATTCCACAGTATCTTTATGTATGGTTTCACAAATATCTGTTCATTTCAGAACGTTTTAGTAATGCTTTAATCCTCATGTGTAATTTTGCACGTGTAATTCCAGAAAACAATTTTTTATAGCTACAGATATACCACATAAAGAGGTAATTTTGTATAAAGTTATGAAAAAGGGTCAGGCTAATATAGTGTATAAGCAATGAGTGTATTTAATTCTAAAATACTGTGGAATAACCCTGTCCACACAACAAATTCTATAAACTATAAAGCTGACTCTAGAATCCATGTTGTAAACTTTCTGACCAAAAAAGTCACACAAGGACACAAATTCAGCTTTCACACGGGAACTAGGGATTTAAAAAAAATTACCTGTTTTCTGAGTTTTGAGCTGTATCTTCTATACACTCATATTGTCACAAACCATGTACAGTTTACCGATATAATTTTCACACACACACACACACACACACACACACACACAAATGTCTAAAGGTAGCCATGTTGTAGTTTTGTTGCCAAAGCAACAACTAAATATAATTAGTTGACAATTACTATTTGTGTATAAAGTTAAATTTGTTCTTAAACAGTGAATTGTAGACAGTAGTTATGGACTGTAATCTGTATCTTGCATACTTTGCTGTCAGTTTAGAACCTATCTAGGTGGTCCAAATACATGTAGTAAAAACTTAATCTAACTCTCCTTCAAAATTAAATTCATTAGTTACTTAGAAATATAAAAAAGTAATAAAATAAAAACCTTAAAAACTAACAATAAGAAAAATGAAAACATGGCACCAATTAGTGAGTTGGTGCTTAGAATCTATAATTGTAGTTATATTTACAGTTTGATTAGGCTATCAACTAAGCTTGCAAAAAAAAGTTATAGTCTTTCAACATGCTATTTATTGTCTTATCTTCAACAGGCACTGGTACAATTAGGCCACTATCTTACTAAACCTATTAATCAGAATTGGGAAATCAGATTTCCCTCATAAATTTTACTTACTTCTGTTTCAATGTATGTGAAATATACAAGATATAAAGAATGAGAGGTGCAGTTTCGAATCATTCTGTGCACCACAGTCAACCCTACAGTCTGTAAGATCTCAGAAAACTTGTGGCTGAGCTTTACCTAAGAGCATCCTCATTGATACTCTCCAAAGAGGGGGGAAAAGAACCCAATCACACTTCAAAAGTAGCTCATGAGCCTTCTCTCTTATTTCACAACACATAATGTAAGTGCTGTTCCTGATCCAGACATCACCCTGCTTACTGGTCATACTATTAAAAACTGCTTCTAGCTGTAAAGATTCATTTTATTTGGGTCCTGCTGATAGCAGAGGGGGTACTGACTTTTTCCCAAACTGGAAAGCAGGTGAGCTGAGGCCTCCCATTAGTGGACACAGCCTAGTGATCTAGGACAACACTTATGGCAAGATCAAAGTGCTTTAGCCGTTCAGAAACGGATGAAGATTAATGGAGATGGCTTTCATGAAAAGTGAATTGAAACACAACAGCTGGTTGTGGAGTCATGCTCCAATTGCGAAAGGAAATACTGTATTTAAATAGAAATTTTATGAATCCATTTATTTTAATTTAATTTTAATCCCTCTCTAAAATATACTTATGTTATGGTCACATAGTGCTTTTTTGTAAAAAAATGAAACTACTTAAAAGATCACTTCTAAATTTTTTCTGTATATATGAACTGTTTAATCAAATTTCAGCACTCTTGCATATTTTTTGCAAAAGGCTAAGAATATGGAGAAAATCATTAATTTTGGATAAATAAAAATAGAGGCCCTTGTAAAATACAAAGATTATAAAATGTTAACTAAGAATCACAAGTGGTTAGAATTTTTTTATTTACAATTCATCCAGTAAATTTTTGTTTAGAGTCACTGATTAGTTTTGTGACTTGTCTTTTTAACTGGAATTTTATAGTCTAATGACTTACCACTCTTATCTTTCCTTGAATAAAGGTGACTTGAATAGCCATTGCACAACTAGCTTAAAGAGTGCTATCTTAAAACTGCATTTTCCTCAAAACTCTTGAATTTGATCAAAACTTTAGGGCTTTGAGCTTGCTTTCTTTAAATTCATTTATATAGCAACTTCTAAAAGGCCAACAATATAGAAAACTGTGGCACCAAAAATATAACTACCCTGAATATCCCTCACTGAATCATCTCTTTAAAACAAGTCATTACTAATGTCTTACAGTGTTTACAGCAACATGAAAACAGCTGTACTCTAGGTTTATTGTCTATGTACATGTTTGCCAAAAGTTTAAAAAGTTAAATGAGATAGTATGTTGCATCAAAATATCAAACTGCACAAAAATTCATTTTGCACCAAAAATCCTTCCCATCTCTATTAAGAAATACATACAGACTACCTCAGGTGCATCCCTCCTGGATTCATGTGATCAGATCTCCCCATCTAGAGGCACTGGCACAGTCTATGCAAAACCCAGTTCCATACACAAGGCATTTCAAAAAGGCATACTGTACTTTCTTCTCAAACAATATTAAGATTTTAGGAAACAGAAATTAAGAACTTCCAAAAGTCTGCAGTTAAAAGGACTACTCTTGATCTCTAACTCGAGGCAACATAGTTAACAGAGGACAGTGGTTCAAGACAAAGTAAGACTGTTAGAAATCACTGTTGACCAGGATATGCCTTGATAACTAGGATCAATAGGATACCAACCACCAGAGGTAATTCTGCTTTTGTATTCTAAGCCAAACCAATCTGCTTTGAAGTGCAGTCTCAAACGTTCTGTAGCACAATGTAAAACATAGGAACAAGTGAATCCCACAAAGGTTAGGTAGCCTTGAGCAAGTCACCTGCCCAGGTCTCAGTTTTATCCGCTGTGAAAAGCCTTTGCCAACTCGATTATTCAGCAATGCAAACCTACCTGCTGGTTTAAGGTATCCTAAAGATTTTCTTATGAAGAAGAGCAACAACTCTCTCTCTCTCTCTCTCTCTCTCTCTCTCTCTATATATATATATATATATATATAATTTGATGGTTTTATGTTTCCCAGTGGGAGAACATATATTTAATAGAAAATAGTAAATCTATCTAAGTTGCTGAAAAATATCTTATTTCCACCACTGCATAATAATGGTAACATTAATAACTTGAGTAGAGTGGAGGAGGTATGCTATATGCCACAGGAAACGATTAATTGCTATTTTACACATGTAAGATTATTTTATAAGTATTAGCAATGAGAATTCAGCTCATGTCTGTGGAATATAGCTACTGTATATGAACTGAATGGTGCTAAAATCACTCTATTATAGGTTTGAAACTCATAAAGGTAAGTGCATCCAAACAAGCAATAAAAGAAGTTTGCCTAAGAGGCAAAAGACTGATGATAAAGTTTGGGCAGGGAAACGTTTGTGATATATCATAGACACTTGCTTCTTTGTTGAAGTGTTTAACAAAATTGGAAACTCAGATAAACCAAAGACAAAGACAACTGTAAAAATCTTTCCTAGTTCTTTTGCATAAATCAAAGAATAATTTGCAGTGCCTCCCTGCACCTTATCCCTGCCATTTCTCCAAACCTGTACTCAGGCTCTCTCAGTGATCAACAGAGAAGATCGACCATTTGGAGAGGAAGGGAGACTCATTTGGAACCAATTCTCTTTCACCCTGACTGACTTTTGCTAGATTGCATCTTGCTTATTATTCAAAGAGTAGTCTAAAGAGCATGAGCCATTTGCATTTGGAAAATGGCACTTGTGCAAAAGGTTACATTGCAATGGCTTTACACACTTTCTGCTACTATATAAAAACTGTCTTCATGTCCACATCTCTCTGTTTGATTTATAACCTGTAATTAGCATACCTTTAAGTCACAAAGTACCAGTTTCTCAGCTAAAGATGACAAATGGCTCAATTTTAGACACTCAACCTATAAGATAGGATTCTCGGGACACAAAAACATGTCATGGGTACTTTACGTAATTTTTTAGTATAAATGCTGAGAAACTCATTAAAGGTGAATACTCATTTTTCAAGTTATTTAAGAGGAGTGATTAGAGGTTAATGTTTTAAGAAGTTCCCTATTTTGTGTAGGCAATTGTTTTTCCCTTGCCAAAAATTTAGTAACTTTATTGAACTAGGCAAGATCAGATCTGAAAGCAAGATTATACACATGCATGTTTATGACTAGGTTTTGTGCACACTCAAAAAATGAGGCCTTTGAAATGTATGCTCCAAGAAACCTCCAGAAATATTCTAAAGAGAGCATCTTAACATGAACCTGCCATGTTTTTCAAGCACATGTACTTCTGTTCTCCACTATTAACATTTTAATTGAACTCAAACACCACAATATACAGCAAAACACTATAGTATGTAAAAACTAAACACAACCTAAGCTAATACAATACAACAGTGGAGAAAATGGTACTGAATATATTTGTTACGTTTGAAATTGATCCAGTAGACTATTCTGTAAACAACAGAGTAAGGTAACATTTCAAGAACACATAAGCATTTATCCACCGAGAATGTATAGCAAGCTCACAGTACACTGTGGAAATTCATTTAGTGGAATGGTTATTGGAAAACCAGAAAATTTTATCCTGTGTTCTATCTGATAATTCATATAAGATGGATCTAATAATTCACATAAATCACAAACTTTTATGACTGTGTTCTATCTGATAATTTTTATGATGGATAAGTCATAGTTATTAGTTTTGTATTTGTGTTTTAACATCTCCATTGATTTTTAATGCTTTATTTTCATTCAGATTTGCTGGCTGGTATATTTGCTTTGTTTAGTATACTGACTGCACCATGCTAATTGTGTTGGTAGAAGAGGACATACGAGAATATAGAGAAAGGCCATATGGAGGTTCTCATGGAAAAATTCCGATACTCCATAACTCTGCTGTTCAGAATTTCAACTGAAATGGAAAAAAAAGAGAATGAGTGAGGCATGTTGAAGGGTTATTGACCAGGAGTCAGGAGACTGTTCTTATTCCAGTTCTATGAGTAAACTATGCCAAGATATTTCCCACTCTGAATTTCTGATTCTACATCTGTGAAAACAGGGGCTGTTGCAAATGATCACTAAAAAGCCATATAGCTATAGCAGTGATGGGAAGTTCCCATTGGGGGCTAGCGTGGAGACTGCCCGTGTTAACAAAGATGCACTCCGTTGTATAAGGTGTTATCTACATGGTGCCAAACACTTTGCTGGTCCATCCAGTCTTCAATGGTATATACTGAGAAAATGTGTTTGATACCAAATGCTTGGAAAATGCCAATATCAAATAAACTTTCCCCCTTTTATCTGAATGCTTTACAGCCATGCAGAAATAGCCTAAGTGAGGTGTGTGTGTATATATGTGTGTGTGTGTGTGTGTACATATATATATGTGTGTGTGTATACATAACACACACACACACACACACACAATTTTGACTTTTGGCGACATTTTCAACACCCATTGCATGTCGAAGTGATTACCTTCTACCAAATATCTTTACATTTTCTAATGGGGTCAACCAAAAAAAATGGATCTTCCCAAACATGTTTTGTGGAAAGGTTAATTATATTTGACAACTTTTATTGACCTTGATGTCAACAGCCTGTGAGAACTGAGCAAGTGTTGGCAAAGCTTACATTCTCATGTTTGGTGTTTTTTCCATGTTGCCACTATTCCAAATGACACCCCTGAGAGCTGTTGCAATCCATAGCTCCCTTCAGTTATTCCATGTACTCAAAGATATCTTTTAAAAACATTTCCTTGTGATGGAGAAGAGCTATTTATTTACTGCACCATTGACCACGGGCTCTGTCTAAACATTGTTCTGGACCTGTGTGTCCTCAGCAGCAGAGAAGGATTAGTGTGTTGCTGGGGAACTAGTCCAGCAGGGAACACATCTGCCACCTCCTTCAACCAAATGACACACTGCAGGTGGAAGAACTTCAAACTTTCCTTGACTGACCAATGTAATTCCAAGTTGGTACACTTGTTAAGTCCCTAGAATTAAACCTAGGATTCTTAAATGGCTTCAAAAGTCACATGGTCCACGTGAATGATTGCTCAAGTTAAGTGCATGCTACTGTGGGCTCTGACCAGGCAAAGGAGATCAAGGGTAAAGGGGGAAAAAAATCTAAGAACAATTTAAAAACAAAATATGATTCAAAGGAAAATTATGATTAAATTACTAAATTATGTCATTCAAATTCGAAGCAGCTGGAGCAACTCTGCTTGACTGTTGTGGAAAGCAGCACAATGAAACATACTGTAAAAGCACGATTTTCTATAATGTAATAGGAGAAGCATAACACTGTCTTTAAGATAACCTTGTCAGTCAAATCTTTGTTTTTACATCAATAAAAGTGGAGCTATAAAAATGTTAAAGAATTAAAATTCAAAAGTGATCCATGCCTTTGGCTAACAAATTATACCCCTTTAAAAACAGGAAAACATTTCTGAGTTTATAAGCTCATTGGGAAAATACAGTACCAGTTGTCATTTCTATGTAAGAAAATTTCATATTTGCTCTCACATTTCCATTTGGAGAATTTAGAATGTGTAAATCAAGCTCTAAGTTGCAAGCAATGTTTCTTAATGAAAATATTTACCAAAACCTTTAGCAAATACAATTCAGTAAATAAAAGATTTACCCTACAAATACTAATTATATTAATACTTAAAGAAACTTACTGTTCTACTGGTAACTTCTACATCTGTGAAACAAACATGCTGCTATTCAGTTCATCTATTGATAATTGGGGTATCTATAGTAGTAAAAAAGATTTTAGATTAAAATCGTTTTCTTGAGAGAATTCTTATTTTTTTTCCACTGGTGGGCATGGGAATCAATAACCATAATCAATTTCACAGAAAAGTTTAGGCATATCAACCATTTCCACTAACAATTAATTTTGCAAAGCACAGATTAGCATGTGGTTTGTTCCCCAATGAATTAATGTGCTGTGTGCCTCATGGTTATCATGTAGTAATTTAAACAGCAGTGCAGTGTGTAGGTGTGGTTAGCGCTGAAATGAGGCAGAACTCACATAACATTATTCAGTAACTACTGTGTGTATTGCCTTACAATTTCTAGGCTTGCCCCAAACTTTTCATTTTCCTGTGACTATGCCTGAAAATACTCTGCTTGAAAAATCAAAGCCACACAAACACATCTAACGTCTGTATGAAAAGGGATTTCTGATGGAATCAGTGGGTAAAGATAAGGACAGTTGTGTTGGAAAGGAATGTCATATTTTGCTTTCTTTCCAGTGGATCTGAAAGTAAAAGGGATGACTATACTAAGTCAACATTCAAACACAATAACTAGGGCTGACAGAGTGGCTCAAGTGGTAGAATGCCTGCCTAGAAAGCGTGAGGCCCTGAGTCCAAACCCCAATACCACCAAAAAACCCCACAAACATAATACCCAAAGATGGCAGTAAAATAAAATAAATTCTCTTGACCAATAAGGAAGCACTTAAGAAATATTTAGTATAGAATATACATTTGAGGATTGGCGTGGTAATATAATAACAAGAGTGTCATTTGATTACCAATTAAAAATGAATAAAATGCCACTGATTAACCTTGGGATGAATAGTAAATCACACACAGTACCCTAGAATATATATAAAAAATAAAACTGTCAAACGTGACGACTGCTCAAGAAACACATGAGTATATGGATCACTGTCCTTCACTAATCCAAAAAGCATGCACTGTGCCTTAGCAACACACTGCAGTTATGTAGGTCTGAACAGGTGAAATAAATGACCAAACCTGATTGCCTGTAGTTGTTGCAGCGAAGGGGATGCTGGTGGCAGGTGTTGTTGCTGCAGACACAGTGGTAGGCGTAGCACCGTGCATCATGGGCACTTTCAGTCGGAAACCACGGAAGCCACACACAGGAGTGGAGCATTTACGCAATCAGGACATATGCGATGGAATGGGGCGTGGTAGGTATCACAGCAACAAGCCATGTGACATCATCATGATGGATACACCAGAGCACAACATGCAGTCACAGTCCGTGCAAAGCAACACAGCATGGAAGGGGGGGAAATTTAAAAAGAGAAAAGGGGAAAGCCAATTATAGTTACCATTAAGGAAAACAGAACCATTTTCAACATCTTGTAAGTTTTCGAGCAGAATGACACTGTAGTCAACTCAAGGCCAATTTTTCAGAAAGGGGTTATAAATGAGTACATGCAAAAAAAAAATCCAACATTACCAGGGCTGACGCTGGTTAAGCAGACAAATAACTGGGTTGCACACTCAAAAGGGGATTAGGGAATTGTCAACTGGTGATTGGGTTCCCTGACTTATGGATGTGAGTGCTGCCACCAGATTTGCAGGTGCAAAAGGGCAGTTTTATGGATACTTACCTGATCTGCAAGACAAAAAGAATAGCGATTTGATTGGTGGCATGTGGTAGGAGAGCAGACACGAAGACTACAGGGGACTATGTGTGCAGGTTTTGAAGTACACCGCTGCCAAGCTTCTTGGAAGTTTGGCTATTCTCAAATACATGGAATACTTCCTAGTAAATCTTGTCTTCACAGCAAATACTAGGGCTACAATGACTGGCAGCTGCAAAATCTCTTTCAGAATGTTTTTCTTTGCCTTTTCTAGTTTCTATTTCATTTCAAAAGCTTTTGGATGCTTTTCTCATTCCCAGCTTATTTGAGAAAGCCAACCAGTGAATTAATGTGGGAACTGCAAACATACATTATATAATAATTCATCATTTCTGCATCAATTGAATTCAGATTTTCTAAAAGGCTACTGAGGAAGTTAATGGCCAGAAGGAGAAAAATGGAACACATGCAATGTCATAGAAACCAAAAACATACACCAAATGGTGATTAACAGGAACTCCATCATTACCCCCTCTGCCCATCTCTGGTTACCTTGTACCTATCGCCATCCCCTATGTTTTTCACATGCCAATGCTAAAAACACTATTGTTTCCCCCTTTGGGAGTGCAGCAACTGGGCAGGAAGCAGCAGCATTAAGGCATGCAGTTACATTCCTAAGCAGAGCTCTGAAAAGGAAAAAACAAGGAAGCATCCCCAAGAAACAGACCACAAAATGTGAACACAGAGACATGTTTCTCAGACTTGCAGAAGTCTGTTCTACTGATATGCATAGAATGTTCCTGTTAGTATCAACAAAAACGCTGTTAATTCCTACAGGGAACAGCTAATCCCTCAATAACAGAGGCCTCACCCCCATTGCCAGGGTTCAGATCTTGTGTTCATGAGAGCTGCTTCTATGTGGTCATCATTTTGACCTTTTGTTTCATCTCAGTAAGCCTGTTAGTGTCTTTTGGGTTCTGTAACTACTCTCTTCCACCAATGGGGTGGAGGTCAAGCTGTTGCAAATCCTTCAAAAGGATGAAAGGAACTGAGTTGATATGAGATGGTGGGGGAAGATAGAGTAGGATTGTTTCTGCCTGTGCTGAACAAAGCTATTTTCTCCTGATCTGTTCCCAGTTCCCATGAGCTGTGAACTCCCCAGTTGCTTTCTCATTTTCTTTAGTATTAGTAATATACAAAATGGCTTAAAGATGGTTACCATATTGTGGTGCTAAATAATGGATCTGTGTGTAACTGGTTATTAAAAACCACGTAACACCCAAAGAGTGACTTTGCAATGACCCTGTTGCCTAGTTTCTGTGCAGATGGTGCTTCATCCTAGAACACTATAGAATTCATCATAGAACATTGCAAGAAGTCTCTAGCTTTGCTTAGGTCATAAGGCTAAGATTTGGTGGGAGAAATTGTTCAGCTGTACTTTATAAGTTGAACATTTGAAATATTTTATACTATAAAATAATAGATATAAAGTTAAGAATAAAATTGCCCAGTTTCGGATATACCCAAAGGAATGTGACACAGGTTACTCCAGAGGCACCTGCACACCCATGTTTATTGCAGCGCTATTCACAATAGTCAAGCTATGGAAACAGCCAAGATGCCCCACTACTGACGAATGGATTAAGAAAACGTGGTGTTTATACACAATTGAATATTAATCAGCCATGAAGAAGAATGAAATCTTATCATTCGAAAGTAAATGGATGGAACTGGAGACCATCACTCTGAGTGAGGTTAGCCAGGCTCAGAAGACCAAAAATCGTATGTTCTCCCTCATATGCAGACTTTAGATCTAGGGCAAATGCAGCAGTGTTGTTGGACTTGGGTCACACGCTAAGGGGAGAGCACACACAGGAGGAATGGGGATAGGTAGAAAACCCAAAACTTGAAAGTGTTTGATGTCCCCACTGCAGAGGAGCTAATACAAAAACCTTAAAACAACAGACAGCAATATGGGAAGGTGACCGGGAAGTAGTGAAGAGGTCAGGTAGAAATGAATCAATTCGGGTTGTAACACATTTGTACATGGAAGTAATGCTAGGAATCTCTCTGTATAGCTATCCTTATTTCAACTGGAAAAACACTTTGTCTTTCTTATGCTTATGTCTTGTCTTCAACAAAATTAGAGATAAGGGCAGAATAGGTTCTGCCTGGAAGCGAGGGGGGGAGGAGGGGAGAGGGTGGGGGAGAGGGGCAGGGGGAAGAAATGACCCAAACAATGTATGTACATGTGAATAAATGAATAAAAATGTTTTAAAAATTGCCCACTTTCACTATGTACAGAAAAAAATTTAAATACTTCATTTGCTATTTTTAGGGTAGAAACACAGAAATGGTAGGGTTAGTATTTGGTCACAGTGGCAACCAACTAGGATATGAAAAGGTAGGATTATTTTGATTCCACGAAGACATAGAACATAAAGCACCATATTCAACTTTGAATACCCAGCAAATGTCCAGTCACACCATTCAGTCATTCATCTCTTTCATAGTCACAGCAGAAAAACACATTTTTCAGATTAGAAAAAGTTGAGAATTTTTGTACAAAACCTACCAAAACTTGAAGCGGGTGCCATGCACAGTATTGGCCCTGTACACCATGCAGAAAAGCGTGGAAGGTAAAGAAAAGAGATTTCATTATTAAGGTTTTACAGACAGAAGTGATTTTTAACCAGAAAGATATTTTTTTCTTTGCAATATCAATTAATCAGCACATGCAAACTCAGTAATCTCCCATGCTTATAATTACAGATTAGCTTTGTGATCACAGAACCAGGTAATCAAAGTAATTCTCAGATTTTTACGTAAAAGATGAGCTTTTATTTTTCTTTAAAGGAATTGCTTCCCATGAATTACATATTTATTCTGGGCAAACACAATGTAAATAATTTTTATAATGAAAGGACAATTTAAATTTATTATACATATTCTTTTAGAAATATGCTCCAGGACCTGGTATTTGGTGTCCACTGTTCTATTTAGAGCATTAATCTATTAATGCCTTCTCCACCACCTCACTGACCTTGAGGATTTGACTATAAACATAGAGAAATAGGCTCTCCATTTCTTAATGGGGGTGCTCAGCCACATGGGTGTTTAAATTTTGCTATTAATTAAGGAGGATGTGATTTTTCAGACATTTTTGCTCATAAATCTGGATTTTTTATTGATCCAAAAAAGAAATTTAACTTCTAAATACTGTAACAATCAGATTAAGAAAATGAAGAAACAATGTGAATTTTTTCACCTTCAACCTCTTTGGCTATACTTCTGGGCTACTGAATTCATTCTAGAGCTATAAGACAAACTGGAAGTAGCCAAAGAGGAGAGATATAATGTGCATGTAAATTACCACTATTATTTAAATTTTTTAAAAATCCAGAAATGAAGTCACTTCAACTCACCCTTTTACTTTGTAGACATTATATATGTTCTCTTAGGTTTGGGGAGAAAGTCTTACTCATTAGTTATGAGTGGTTACATTTTACAAGTGACATAAACATGTGTGAAAGAATTTCATTTTCCTCCTCAGAAACTATTATTCCCTTGTGGTGAGTAACTGAAGACTGTTCTTTCCATGGCTCCCTTCAAAATTAATTAACTGCTCAATTTACTAATTAACCAATGTTTTTTCCCAAGTCTGAGTACAATACTAGGTCTTCAGCATGCTTGTATAATTAATGAGGTTTTCAAAGCAGATATTCTTTTTATTTAATATTAGTTTCTAAATGCATCATTTAGGATTCTGGCCAAGAAAATCTACTCTACTCACAGTGGTTAGTATTCTCAATTTATTCTTATGACATTATATGGTCATTCTTAAAGTACTGAACCACAGGAAGAAAATCATTTCATGTTGTATATGGTATTTATTTGAACAAAATTCTGGTTTAAATTTTTCTATTCAATTTGGTGCAAAGCTGTTACACTATTAATTACAGATGAATGGAGGAGGCAACAAAATATGCAGCAAAATATCAGAAACTATAATAAACTGCTACTTTTTTATATTAATTGGTTCAAGAATTAGAGGCTAAAAATACTTATATATACTATATTGTATCACGCTATACTTCCTATCAGTTTCAGGGTAGTTTTTTAATAACTATCTTTGGTTTTTCACAGTTAATGGACTACAGAATTTTGCAATGCTAAGCTAGGATTTGTTTGTTTGTTTGTTGACAGCAGGCTATTGTCTGCAAAAGCCTAAGATTCAAGGAAATAGCTGAGATCAAACCAAATGAGTCCATCATAAGAAGTAAAAATAAGGACTACTAAAAAGAAAAATGTTAATATTTTCTTCTAGTTTGATTTCACACCATTAATTTTCAAAATTGTAGAACAACAAGTTGTTCCAGACACTTGCAGATCAAGCACAATTGCTTTGTTTATTCCTAATCAAACTACATGCAGAAGGCCCTCCTGTAAAAGCCCTTTGGAAGCTGCTTCCTGCTTCACGTCTACATTCACGCCACTAAACTTGCAGTGCCCAGTGCTGTGTTCTTACCTGTCGGAATAAATGCCGGCTGAGGGAACTGCATGTTAGCCAGAGCCTGTTGGCAGTGGAAAACACTGGGATTAAAGACCGGAGGGACACCATTGGTCTTTTCATGGGCCGATCTCTTTGGTATCAGTTGAAGTGCACCAGGCTGTAGGGCCTATGGAGGAGGGATGGATTAATTACTAGTTCGGGAAAAAGCTTAAAAACATACTCAAATCAAGCAAGTGTAAGGGACAGTCCAGGAATCCTCCATAAGGGTACCCACTGAGCAAGACATTCAATAAGCAATGGTCAGTCAGTGAGGTGGCCCACTGCAGAAGTTAAGTGCTTCACTGGAAAAATAGTTCAAAACAGAAAATAAAAATACAAGAATTAAAAAAGCCTTTCAACTTCACTAAATTAAGATCCCATTTGGACACGACGTGGCAGAGAAACAAACCATCATTTACAATGAACTTCTCAGGGATGCTCATCTCTTAATGTACAACATGAGATTAGAAGAAGCAACAGGTATAGCAGGAAAAGAGATTTCTGCCAGTTAAAATTCCAGTATGGATGTAGAAGATAAATGGTTTATGGGTGACAAAAAAGATGTTTGTAGTCTCATAAAACAAAACTTGATTTATACAAAGACTTAAGGCTCAAATCTAGAAGATATACAATTATATATCTCCTAACACACATGTAAGTTCAAATCTGGAAAATATACAACTGTGTATCTTCTAACAACATGTAAGGAAAAAGCAAATGAATTATTCCTCTCTATCGCCTACCTCATCCAGGTGCCACATATCCAGTTAAGCAAAATGCATGCAATTCTCATTTGCAGAGGCTTGGTGTGCATTTTAGTATGTGCGATTTGCTTTGTTAAATCCCCATGAGGTTTAATTCTAAAACCTATCAGCATTTTAAACCCTTCTTTCATGACTACTGTCATTTCAAAATCCTTCTGTGCTTATAATACTCAAACCTGCCCCAAGATTAGATTTGTTGGAGAAGTTGAACATTATTTTCCTCTCAGCAAATTGTGCCATTACTTTAAAAACGTGTCCCAGCAACAACAATGAGGTGTGCTCCAAATTCTTAAGGAGACAGGAACACTTGTGCTGAATAACCAGCCTTCCATGTGCCAAAAAGGGCATGTCATGACCTCCTTATTCCCATGGATAACAAAGGCCTAAAGATACCTCTATTCTCTTTGGGAAACTCTGCTGTCCATGCACACGGTGTGACATGTCTGCTTTTTATTAGTTTCTTTATGTCGCCAAAAAAGTCAGATGAAAATAAACCAAGTAGCTTTAAAGATACGTAATTTCCAAATTTATTTGAGAGGACCAGATGACAAAGGTCCGGCTAAAATCTCAAACGTGAAATGTCATTTATCATTTTAAATGCCCTTTCTCACCACTGAGGAAATGGATTCACTGAAGATTTTAACAGAGTATGACAGGAAACTATAGTTCTGATTTTTTAAAAAACATTTCCCTTGGACTGGTGAAGTGGATCAAGTGGTAGAGCACCTGCCTAAAAAGTGTGAGGTTCTGGGTTCAAACCCAATACCCCACTCCCCGCCAAAAATTGAAATGATACTGGGTCATTTAAAAAAGATCTCCCTTATGGGAAAGTCAGGAGTATGGTATGATCATCAGAACCAAAGTTGAATTGACTAGCTAGCTACAAATTAGGGCAAGGCCCAGATGGACATTTGTCTGGTAGATCCTCGTAAGGCAGTACTGCTTTATTTTTTTAAACTGATCATGTCTATCTTGATAGGTTTGTGCCCAGCTCTGATTGGATTGTGACCAATATTATTAAAAATTGCTGACCAGGGCCTCAGCAGCCTCATCACAAACTCTCTACCTTGCCAAAGAGATATGAGACTGTGGATGAAATAATTATCAACCTTTTTAAAAAATTTAACACATGTAAGCAGCTCGTGGCCAAGTCAACACGAGCTAGAATAAAAATGCCTTTTACAAAGCATTTCTATTCTGAATCCTTAAAATATAAAAATGACTAAACTTCTTTATGAAACTCTCTTTTATTTAGTCTTCAACCTCTTTCCTATAGGCCAATTTGATCTTACCTCCCCATACTTAGTTAATAAGAGGAGTTATATGTTGATATTCACAAGTTCCAATTGAGAACATATCATATAATATTTAGCTCTCTAAATGGAAATTTTATGCTGATATATAGCGTACTCATTCTACCAAACACGCCCAAATAATCAGAAATGGGCAGACACATGTGAAAAGACCCATACCTGAGCATAGGTACAGGTACGTAATGGTGCAAACCAAGCATTCTTTGTTCTTTGTACAGCCCATGTGTATGTGTGTTCCATTTTAAGGGGACGACTGCATTCTAGAAATTCCTTCCATAGGCTCCTGCACTTTCTGAATTCCATGCAACCAACCTAAGCAGTCAAAAAGATGAAGGCTTAGCCGTAGCTATCTGGGAAGCTAAGTGAGAAGGAAGATACTTGCACCTCAGACTTAGGAACCAGCCTGGTCCACCTAGTGAGAGCTGTTCTCTTACAAAATTAAAGGCTTAAATTCTGCATTCAACATTCTGAATACTCTGCTATTTTCATAGCTTAAAAGTCACCCATCCAGACAAAAAAAAAAAAAACCTTTGGCTAAGTCTTTTTTAACATTCACTAACAGGTTATGTTGTCCAGATCAAGTCAGAAAGCAAATTTGTTGTCCTTTGGTACTCAGATCCTTCACGAAGTAATGGGCTCAGTTCTGAAAGAAGATTGTGAAAGTACAGGTAGTACACAAAAATGCTTCTGTGTCCTCGAAATCACAGTCTGTGAGGAAAAGCTGGAGAAGTTTGGGGTATCTGGCTTAGAGAGGAGACATAGAGGTCTCTCTCCTATGGCACAGGGGCTGACTTGTTCTGTGAAGGTTCCGTTGCAGCATATAAATATCACCTCAGTATGAGGAAAGCCTGCTCAGAAGGGATGTGTGAAAAGAGATGCAGCTCTCCCATGAAAAGGCAAGGTCTCCATCATGGAAGTCTGACTAATACATGTTATATGAGGAGATTCAGCTCACACTACATTTTCTGGGCTTCAGGATTACATAGGTGCTTTTTCCAGAGCCAGGTAACATGAGATTTTCTCAGAGTTTTATCCCTTAAGGGTTGTTGTACCCTAAGACATGAAGAAAGTTCTAGATAGCAAAAGAAATAAGCAGTAAACAGCACATCAAAGTAATTCACAGTTGTGACACACTAGAGTGATCCTAATTCCTATGTCTCAACCTGTCACAACAGTGTTGCACAAATATTTCTCCTACTTTTTACCTTCCAATGTTATTAAGCAGGACTAACTTCAAAAAACACGACTTGCTAGGGCAACTCAAAAGCTCTCTTCTCCCAGTCAAGTTGAAATCTCATTCCCCGACCCTAGCCAAAGCAGGCTGTCCACTTGGTTCTCCCCTTTGCCAATACCACGCCTGCAGAAAGGAAAGGTAACCTTGCCCTTAGGAAATTCAAGCCTGTTTAGTCCCCCATGTTTCAAGGGCTGCATTTTCCGGCATTAAGGACGTGAGTAGCAAAGTGTTCGTGAAGATGGCTCACAGAGAACAGAGGCAACTTTCTGCCTTTCCTGCCTATTAGGGGTAGTTTAACTATAAAAAGCTCTCAAAATAATTTACTGCTTAAATCACATAATTTACCAGTTCTCGGAAAATGGGAGAAAGAGTACAGCTGGTTAAAATCATTAGTAAAGCTTTTAAACAATTATCTTGAGAAAATTTTAGTAAATAACACAGAGTAAATAGATTCTCTCTTTTCTGGCTTGTAACCTTGACCGTTCATATGAAAGTTCACTCCCGACTAGCCAACATTATGGGTACAGAAGATAGGACAAATTGAGGAATATGCTAATCATTTACCCAGAAAAGGACAGCCTGCCACCCTGGCCCGCACTTACCATCGCGGTGGCGGCTGAATGGTTCATCTGGTGGTGAGCTGCCTTGAGTTTGGCTTGCAAGTGCGCAGGAGGATGAAAGTATTTGCATTTCTCCCGGGAGCACCGACCTTTAATGTAATCCATGCAGACCGTCACGGTATTATCACTCACTTCAATCATGGAAACATCTGTAGGGTGAGCGTAGCGGCAATCATTCTCCCCACGGGTACAATTTCCACGCTGAAATTCACGGCAAACCTTGAAGAAAAAAACAAAACACGCACATACTTCACAATGATGACTGCAAAGTGACTGGCTTTTATTTACTTCGTGAGAGCAATCATACACATCTTGTCATTTAGGAAAATTCTAGAAAGATTGAAGGATGATACAAAACTACATTCACTACAAGATACAAACATAGGCAATTTCTATTTTCTATTCCAAGGACAAAGCTTCCATATTTTGCCAAGTGTGCTTGGTTTCCTTACATTGATATAAAAGTATTTAAAAGCATTATTGAAAACCAATTTTAAACCTCCAGTTATACACAACCTCAAGTATAATTAGTTCTTTTTAAGGCCGTGAGATGAGCCTTTATCACAAGGCAAAGCACTGGTGATTTTACAGAACTAAAGTTTTGAAGTGTGGTTGAGTTACATATGCAATCAGATTCCATCACGATACAACACCAGCATTTAATGGGCTGCCAGTGAGCTGAGTTTCTAAGAAATCAACTAATTGACAGAGGCCAACAGGAGAGGGGGACCAGGAACTAGAGAAAAGGTTAATTCGAGAAGAATTAATTTAGAAGGTAACACACACACACAGGAAATTAATGTGAGTCAATGCCCTGTATAGCTATCCATATCTCAACTAGCAAAAACCCCTGTTCCTTCCTATTATTGCTTATGCTCTCTCTTCAACAAAAGTAGAGATAAGGGCAAAATAGTTTCTGCCTGGTAGTGAGGGGATAGGGAGGGAGAGGGAGGGGACCGGCGGGGGGGGGGAGCCGGGAGGAAGTGGGGAGAAATGACCCAAACATTGTATGCACATATGAAAAAAAGAAAAATAAAAAAAATTAAGAAAAAAGAAATCGACTAGTTATTCATTTCAATGTACACAGAATGACAAGGGAAAACTGAGGGAACTTCAATAAATCAAAAGGCTGTTTGAAATTTCTTTTGGATTCTTTAGGTATCTTGGGATATTTATTATGTAGTATGTCATTCCTAAAATGGAGGAAAAGGTTTAGGCACCATGAGATCATTTACATACCACATTCACATAGTTCTACATTCTGCCATCGTAGGGAGTTATAGTCCGTTTTTTTCAGGTTATTATTCTAGCAAGTAGACCCATTAACAGATACAGTGATCCCATTCTGTACAGTTGGAGGCTGAGTACAGGCAGCATTCCCACCCAGAAACCCTAAGCGACAGTAAATCTGTGGCTACATACACTTAAAACATTGTTTGACCTATTGTACAACCGAGTCTATGCACTTCCTACCAAGGTCTAACTACAGTAACATGTTGAACATTTTTATGCTAAAAAACTCAGGCCTGTTTATTTGAAATATTCAGCACTGAAAATAGTACTTTCTGTGTAAGGTTAATATCCATCTTATAGGTATTTACATATTTCTTCACAATTACCTCCAGTTTATCCGAACGCATTGGTTTGGGGCCAGTAACTCCTGGCAATGGGAGAGGTGGATTTCCAGATATCAGAACAGGTGTATTTGGTAAAAGTTCGGCAGGAAACAGGCCCATTCCAGGATGAGGTATGTAAGGACTGAAAGCCATGGCAGGATTAGCTGCAAGTGATGGATTCATAGGAAAAGAAGTCTGTATGTTTAAAAGAGAAAAAAATAAAACAGTGTTAGAGGTAAACAGAGTCCCCCTATTATCACACAAGAAGGATTCTTGAAGAGATATCAGAATTTTCTTAGTCATTTCGAAATGTATCGTTGTTTCTTCTGATAGATTTATTTGGAGTCACTTTTAAAATAACAAACCTCTTTAAGTGACAATTTTATTGGTAAGCTGATAAAACAAGCTACATGATTTTAACTTTCTTGAATTAGCCAAATTAAATCTCATCCCTATATTTTCTCTAGCACTTCCCTTTTTCACCTAAAAGCCACATCACCAGTGACAGCATATAGGTGGACAATCTCTCTTGTCTCCTCATACAGGCATGGCCTTTGCATGTGGACCTCGGGTATTCCTGAAAGCCCCCACCTCCCCATCTGTAATGCGGGGCTCTGAGGCTGCCTGTCCCACCCATACTACCAAACACTGGCCTTGCAGTTTTCTTGGCTCACGACGTTCATGGAAGGCAAGAAGGAGTTGATGAAGGAAAGGGTAGAAAAGTGAGGACTTTAACAACTTCTTACCAGCTACCTAAAATGATACTGGCATGGTCACGAGATTTTAGTATTTTTTAAACTAGAGGTCTTGTTTCACAAACGAACTGGACTTGTCCAGCCTTGTCTTTATCTAGAGTCCAGAGGATACTCAGAGTTCAAAAGGAGGCCCTAGAAATGCTAGAAGGATCCCTGTTGGGCAAGAAGAGATAAGATAACAGGATTATATGGTACACAATCTAGAGCAAAACTTTTAAAGAAAAGCTTAGAAATGCAAAGAGCTGTTACTGGTTTATCTATCTTTAAAAATCCTAGATTCAAAGACTTTGATATGTGCACTGCCTTTATTATCTGTAACCACGATTAATCATTTTACTGTGCTGTTTTTCAGTTTGTTCCACAGGCAAGCATCTTTTCTTCGTCATGCGGTTATCATTTCTTTGATAGTTCTCTTGTCTCCCCTATAGTACTGAATGACTTGTAGATATAATCCCTGATAAATTTTAAAAAGAAATTTTGACAGTTTAATGAATGAATAATACATCTGATTAAATGTGGTATATGCCTAAAAGTGAGTCAACAGAGTAGTTATTGTGTAACTGCTGGTGTCTCACTGTGTATTACTAATCTCATGTGTTCTTTCTTGCTTTCTTTTTATTTCTTTCACTAGAAAAATCACGAATGTAATGCATTGCCAAGCTATGTCCACACTTGCCAAATCACATTAGTAAGAACTGCTTTAAATACAGGGAGAAGAGGAAGCGGTGGAGTCTGGATGGGGCAATAAATACTACTCTTCACACTGACTTGAAATTTTCACCAGCACAGATTCTCCAAGAAGCCAAAATTGGCTTAGATGAAAGTGATCCCCCATTAGCAATCTCTCTTAGGTGAATTTATCAAATTAGCTAATTGATATGGTAGGGAAGACACATAGAACCTTGCCCCAATGAACTGGCAAGACTCAGGAGGGCGAGTCAAAAAGACACAGTTGCCAAGAGCTTAAGAGGAAAAGGCAATACCAGGTGCCAGGAAAGATGGAGGAGTCTTCAGGAAAGGGTCATTAAGGTTTGAGGTCTAATAGCCAAGCGCTTACCCAGCTCAAATAGGTCTTGCAATGTAAAAGGCTACAGAACCTGTCAAAGTTCTCATCAAATGAGATGTGGAAACCCCAGGAATCAGCTGATGTGACATTATTTTATTTAATAAGAAGGAAAGCTCTTGGAAACAGCTACCCGGCATGCTTCAGCAACAAAGCAGACTTTACTATCTCAATGATTCACTGTCATGTCAAAATCAGCAAGAACCTTTGATGCTAAAAACTCCATATTTGAACCACACAACAGTCTCGTTTGTTTTAGATTTTGTTTACTCTTGGACTTATGTGGCAAGTTTCTCATTAAAGTCACGGTTTCATTCTCCTGGATACTTTTTGCTTTTGTCTTTTATAGAACTGGAAAAGAACCATTATTACATCCGTTAACTATTGAACTAAAACAGAGATCAGGAGGTAGGTGGATTTTCCAGATTAAAAGAAATCATTAATCACTAGCAAATTAATATTGATCAAATTATTTGATGATTAATTAATATTTAAGGTAAATGAATATATAAGCAATGCTTCTTTTTTATGGTAGTCTAAACTTCTGTAATTTTTCTCCTTTCTTTATGAGTGACAAGAAATTGTTTTCTTTGGAAAACAATTTTATCTATTCAGGTCTGTTACGTGCTCCAAGTGTATGAGCAAAATTAGTATCATCCCTTTTTACGACTATTTATTTCCTCCTTGAGTTTAGCTTTCATTCTATAATTGTTTATTGAGAAGAAGCAAGTTCTTCCATTCACAACCCTGGGGCAGAGGCAAGAACTCTTGAGTTGCTTATGTATTTTCAAATAGACATTTCTGGTTTTTCCCCACCACCTCTGCCCCAGGGAAATGGCTCCATTTCATGAATTTGAACATCCAAAGGTTTAGCTCAGACTAACAGTCACCAGTTTACTCAAGCAGCTTTAATAAGCAACTTAATCCTGTGTCTATCTATATCACAGACCATCATGTCAATTGAGATAACATGAACCTATTTGTGGGTTAATCCTTATTCTAAAGAAAAATGTTTTTATGGTGCTGGGAATGGAACCCAGAGCTTCATGCATGCTAAGCACACACTGTACGACTGAGCTGTATCTCCAGCCTTAAGAAAAAGCTTATTAATACATATATCAAATCTCATTGCTCTTTATATCCTGAAGTAGTCTGGGCATTTAAATATGTGTTCGATATTTAAATCTGAATTTAAATTGTTTACTAAATAGTTGAAAATACGAGAAAGCGTTTTTCCTCCCGGAACCACAGGTATGAAATCTTAGTTCTCCAAGTCTTGCAAAACTATAAGAATGGTGAAGAGGGTCTGGTACAGTGGCTCAAGAGGTGAGAGCGTGTGCCTAGCAAGCATGAGGCCCTGAGTTCAAACTCCAGTGCTGCTAAAAAAAAGAATGGTGAAGACAACCAACTTTAACGAGCAAGATTATCGTGTGGCAATTATTTTTCCCTGGGTGTCTCTAGAAATATTTTCTCAAGATAGGAGTTCTCATGAGTTTCTGGTGACTTGCACAGGGCCTAGGGGCCTAGGAACAGCAGGCACTCAAGAAATGCCTCCTAAAAATTAATGGAATGTCTTCAGAACAGTGGCCATCTAATATCCTCAACTTGGCCTCTTCTTCTACACAGACTAAAATATTTACTATCTAGACATTTACAGAAAAGTTCACTGTGCTTCGTTCTAGAGGATTCCAAAAAATAAAATATTCCAGATTCTGGAGGAAAGCTTGAATATGTCTGTTGATGTGAATTTAATATGTTCTTATCAATATTCTACAAGTTGAAGAAGTCTGACATTAAAAAAAATTAACACTAAGGTATTCATTAAAATGCTCTTTTAAATAGTTAATAAAATTAGGATTTCTAAATTTACGATTTTAGATACTACTCAGTGATTAACAATGGGGAGATAGTAGCAAGAGTCTTATAAAGGTAAAATTTGAGGATCCACCATCATATATTGGTCTTAAAGGATTCTGAAGCACCTTAAAATAATAAATTAATTCACTAAGAGACTATGCCTCTTTATCCATTCATTTTTTGGGTGTACATCATAGTTGATTCTGTATCTTAGCTACTGCAAATAGTATAGCAATAAACATGAAAGTGCCCATATCTCTTTGATGTAATGATTTGAGCAACTATAGTCTATAATGATTTATGATAGTCTGGAGGTTTCCAACACAAAAATAATAAATGTTTGAGGAAATGAAAATGCTAATATGCTAATTAGCCAGATTTTATCATTATATACTTTATACATATATCAATTATTATATTGCACCTCACATATATGCAGACAGATATAATGTGTCAATTTAAAAATTTTAAAAAGAATAAGGAAATACTATGTACTCGTATATGAAAATGGAAAAATAAGACCTGTTGGAACTATTCCAGGAATGGGCGAAGGGGAGATAAAGGAGAATGATGGAGGGGGTGAATTCAACTATGATATATTGTAAGAACCATTGTAAATGTCACAAAGTACCCCCAGTACAACACTAATATGATAATAAAAAACAATAAAATTTGAAAAAGAAAAAAATGCCTGAAATAAATATGCCTACATTACACACATTTTTTGGGACACTGATTACTTGAAACAGGTTATTCATCAAGCTAATATAAAGAAATGAAAATTACATATTGTGCTAATCAATATTTGTATCTCTCCAACAGAATAGATCTACTTATATTATCAATGATACTCAACAGCAATTACAATTAATGATGGATGAATGCAAAAAACTTTAAGTGACTTGAATGACATTTTGGCCTGAAGGCCACAGCATAATTGAGGCCTTCCTTCCTTGAGCTCCTGTCTAGAGGTAGGTGACTCAACATTTTCTTTTACAGAAGGGTAAACATTTGGTAACAATTTGTTGACTGAATTTTAATGCCAGAAAAAAATAGCTCTTAAAATTTAGTAGCATTTGTAATACCTTCCTTTAACTGTTCATTTGCAAGCATTTAAACAGTATAAAAGGAAGCAAACCCTTTTTACCAACACTAGGCTTATTTCTATGGTTAGATAATCCCAAAATACCTTGAAATGCATACTTTTAGTTTCTATCAGACTTTACTAACTGTTCACATAAAGCACTAGTGAATAATCTGTGTTTCAAGTTTTTACTTAATCATTCCCACGCTTTTTGAATGATGTTCTCTGGAGACTGAGGTGGCCAAAAGGCAGGCTGCGGAAGGCCCATATAGCCTCCAGACTAGTTAACTGGTCCCTCAATGATTGAGAGTTAACTTTACAAACAGATGCAAACTGATAGCAGTGTTTATGTACTAATCATACTTGTTAATGAATAATAAGTCACCGTGGCCCTAGAGAGAGCAAAGGAAAAAAAGTTCAAGGGTCAAAAGTGAAT